CACAGCAACTTACAAGGAAATCCTTCCAGCTAGGTTTCAAAATGTGCCCATGGAGCTTTCCAATACGACTGCGCTTTCTGTGAGGCTGGCCGAGTAGAAAGGAGGCTGGCGTGCTTCCTTGCACACGCGATTAAGAAACAGTCTCTCCAAAAAACTTTAGTTTCACTGCCGCGAAACAAACTCCTGTATCTATAGTTTCGGGGTTTCGAAACACAGATTTTACGCAGTCGAAAGTCTGTCGCAGACATTACCTTAGTTTCTGCCCATAAAACTAAAGTTTTAAACCTTTGTTTTTTGCCCCCGAAACTAACGAAGTTTCCGTTCCAGAGTTAGTGTGTTCCCCCCCCCCCGGGGGCCGGGGAGGCGAGGCTTGAAACCCTCGTTTTTGTTCGCAAAACAAACAATCTTCTTTGCACGGTGTTTGTTGGGGTTGAAACAACGTTTTTTTAAAACTTTGGCTCGCGATGTATCTCCAAGTTGGGGTTCATAGAAGAGAATGATTGTGCGTAAGCTATTGGCTGATGTGTGCTGCATCGGTTCTTTACCTTCAACAAGGTGATGTGCGGTTTGATGAAGGTAGACTAAGAAGTTACTAAGAAGCAGGCTGGACTTCTATCGCTGTTATCAGCCGAGGACGCCAAGAAATCAAGATCTGTAGTGACATGTTTGTTTATACAGTGTATAACCAAATCAACAAATACACTTGGTTGGTCTACACTTGGTTGGTCTACAAATACACGTTGATCAACAAATACAGTGAATCGGTCTACCAACGGCGTTGAAGTGACCAAGGCGTACGGTGTCGCTTAGGCTTGAAAGGGTGCCACAGAAGCACCAGTGTACTGCATGCCTTGCATGTATTGCCTTCGAGGCAGCGGACATCGATAGACATGCATGAGTGTATGAGTTCCATGCATGGGAGTGGAGATGAGATGCCATATGGGCAGGTGGAAAATCACATCGGTGTGCTCAGGTGTAGAAACGTTAGAATAGGTTGGAGGCCATGGCTAGGTTGGAGGCCAGCTGGTCAGAGTCTTTGAGACGTTCGGAGGCGCAGTCGGACTGCCACAGGACTGCGGAGATCTGGTCGCTCTCGCAGCCTTTGCAGCCTGTAGGAGTGGAAACATCAGTGAGGCCTGTGGGCTGTGATGGTCTTTTCTTGAGTTCTCAAGTGGATGGCACGCATGCAAAAATATGACATATCGGTGCATATCATGTGATGAAATGTTGTTGATGTGGGGATACACTACAGGCAGTCGGCATGAGTAGACTGGTGACTAGTGTTCCGCAGGTGGGTGAGCGGATAGTTTAACCTATTTGGGTGACCTGCAGTACATGGCATCACTTCTTGCGCACTGCAAGGATGCTAAAATAGCGACCCCATCAAGCTCACAAGAAGCTTTTGGATACCGTAAGTTGAGGAATGTCGACTGATCACATCTGCTCACAGGAACCCAAGAACCCAAGAACCAGCCAAGCGTTGGGGCCACCGAAGATCTCAACATGCCACCCTTTTTCCATCCTTCGCACCGATAAGCCAACCAGCTGGAACTACATGGAAGTACTTGGTCGGTGATTGGGGCCAAGGGTCCAGGACATCGAAGGACATCACACCGAGATCGATCCGACATCGATCATTATTGATCGTTATGTGTATTAGAATATAGTGCAAAGATGTACATCAAAGATGTACTAAAGTACCTATAGTATATACATGTTTATGTGTATTTGCAAGACAACCTGGTGGCTTGAAGTACTAACTTCGAACTGAACTGGGCCTGCAGGGCCCTGTGGCGAACTCAACGGTGTCGTGTGTCAACGCGCTGGGCCCAGTTGACAGCCGTTGGCTCAGCGCGCCATAGCGCGCCATGGCCCTGGCGAAACCGCCCTGGACAAGCATTGGCACGCTCAGCGGAGCTGCCTGCGGTCCACGTGCCGCGGCAGAAGTGGAGCAAATCTGCTGAAGGTGGTGGATTTATTGAGTTTATTATACTGATTTCAGTGAGATCTCGGTAAAGATCATGAGAGCCGTTTCTAGAGATTGCGTGGCTAACAGAATGTTTGCCCCATGGCTGACAGATTCGTACGTATTCTCCTGTCCCGCATCCCTCGCATCTGCGCGTTAGAGACACCCTGCCTCCTAAGCTGGTGAGTTGGGGTCAGCCACCTTTACCTTCATTAGAGAGCAGCCAGCAGACACGCCAGTGGAGAGATTTGTTTGGAAGCAATGTTCATGGCCGAAATGAATGGATACACTCCCTGAAATCATCATGGACGTGGGAATTGGTTCGTTGGATGACCATATGTTTTCTCTACAAAACAGGTGGTTTTTACACTTCCATATAAGCGCCTCGGAGTGCAAACCACGTGTTCAGGGCGGAATTGGCCTCGACCTTCTAAAGTCCACACCCAGTGGTGAGCGAAGGTCAGCGGACCAGCCAGGCAGCTTCAAATCGCATGGATCAAGTCACGTCTTTGGAAGTAACACAACGCTAGTAGTAACAAGTGCATCGCTAGTAGTAACAGGTGCCTTACTAGGAACAAAAAGCTATTAGAATTAAAATAGAATTAATAGCTTTCTTGTTACTGTAAATGCACCCGAAAGACGACCCGGACGTCATCCGACCGATCGGATGTTGCTTGGACACGGTGTCGCTGCTTGGCGCTCCGGTGTCGCTTGACAGCGGGGTGGTGTTTTTTTCCCTGGATGACCCACCACTCACCTCTAAGAGCGTTTAGGACAGACCCATGTTGTACTCATGTTCACTTTCGTTTAGGAACGGACGTTGGCTGTTGTTGGGGTGATTCCACGGGTGCGTGGATGTGTTGAGTTCGTCCTTCGTCTTGTCCTTTTCCGCGCAGGGCGTCCGGACGCTCGTGACGGCGTGCACTCCTGTGAGGTGTGCAGCCTGAGCGGCTGCTGGGCTACGGTGCGGGCGGTAGAAGTCGTTTTGGACTCGTTGAAGCTGGAACGGTCGGACGGGCCAGAGGGGCTTGGTCGATGGATGGACAGGACGTGTTCTTCCGGAACACTGAATTGATTAAAAACAAGAGCTGTTGATATGTCACAACATGGGGATTGGTACATGGGGTGTATATACATATACGTACATCAAGTTCGACAGTGTTTATATGATACTTCAAGATATTTTAAGATGAAACCAATTGAATACTGTAGTGGTTTTAAAAAGAAAAACATTCCTGCACCACCGACCCCACGCTTTGGGAACTGGGTGTGCTTCTTTTCGCCAGGCTGGGCACCAGGGAGCGAGGCCGGTGTGGAGGAGAAGGGAAAAGAAGAGTGGGAGAGCACCTTTAGAGCAATCAGCCTTTATTTGGTCAATTTTTGTCATATATGTTTGTCCATTTATTGAAAGAAAAGAAGTTTCTTCCAATTCCCCTTGCTCCACTGGTTCAGAAATGGACCTGTGCATACCTATGCCTATAAATACTAGTTCCACTATAAATACTAGTTCCACCAACACTTGCGGCAACATCAGCACCCCTTCTTCCTATCCCATCCTCGCCATCCTCGTCCAATCTCAACGCTCCAGGAGAGCCATGGCCGCGATGGCCTGGCCGTGACCGCCTGCGCCGCCTTCCGCGCCGGGAGAGATCGGCAGAAGCGGCGCTTGGAGAAGCGCCCGGCCGGGGGGCGCGGACGATCGGTACGACGCTCCGTCGGAAACCGGTGGTTCGGTTCGGAAGAGCGAAAGGAGAACTCCGTAACGCCTGCCGCCCAGCAGGAACGCCTTTCCCTTCTTTTTTACCTTCGGAATTTGGCTAAGTTTGGTTGCTAAGGCAGATTAGCTCAAGCTTTTCCGAGAATCCCTCAAATCATCATGTTTTTCAACATGGTGTTTCTTTCGACCTTTTGAACAGGAAGAAAAGGACTGGTGCAAGAACATGATGGTGTGCAGAAGGTCAGATCTTGGACCCATCCAGCTGCTACGGATGGCCACGCGGCCACGCAGCAGCTGGGGAACTGGTCAATGCACAATGCATTCTCTTTCGGATTACCAAATGCCCCGAATGAGCCTTGCAAATGCCAGATCACCCTCACCATCCATCACCTACAGAGTCTCTTTGGATCTGTTCGGCTTCATTGAACACGTGAGGCTGTGCACGCACACTTGCATAATACTCGGTCGCCAAGTATTTTACACCCCAACCGCTCCAGGTTCGCCTTCAAACGTTCAGAAAATCGATTTGCACCGAGGCCGTGGCCAAGCGGCTACGCACATGGAAGCGCATGACAAGGCGGCTCAGCTCTGTCCGAGGATTTAGGTTTACTGTAATCGTGCTGAAATGATTTCAATATAGTGGTACCCAGGCACTCCATGGGACTGCCATATATGCCGCCCCAGACAGACCCCCCAAACCACCACCCCAACTGATCGGCGTATATGGCAGTCCCATGGAGTGTCTGGGGTAGAAACTGATTCATACTCTTTCTATGTACTGTATATTGATGTATATTGTATATTGTAGTCTAGTAGTCAATTCACCCTTTTGGATCACTGTACGGTTTGCCAGGTACATTTCGAAACTTGTTTGTCCCAGGCAAGCAACCTGGACCACATGCAGTCCAGTCGTCGCAAGCCGTGAGAATCATAGAGATCGCAATCCATCCATCCATTCCAGGCAGCTGTGGCTAGTTCACGCATCAAAAAGACATCTGACCTCAAAAGGACCACCTGCCCGCCGAACACACCGAACACACATGCTCCGTGGCCAGGCCACACGCGTTTGCACCTGGGACCATGCCGGCTTCTGGAGCGACCTTTTTTCGGGGATGGATGGACAAAACTCGATGCTTTTCAGGTTTGATGAATGAAAAGGGTTTGGCTTCAGGATGGCAGACAGTTTCTACTGACATGAAAGGATGTGTTTCTGTTTGATTTGTGCTGGGTGTTTCTGCAAGCTTGCTTGCTTGATCTGGCTTGCTTGCTTGTTTGCTGATTGAGGTCTTTGCTGTGGAGTTGTTGCTGTGTATGTAGGGCAGTGCGCTTGACAAATCTCTATATAGTCGGGTTCGTTGAGCATGCCAGTTCCGATTTCCTGCTTGTTTTGCAGTGCTGTCCGGTGGCCCTCTTTGAGGGCCTCCCCAGGAGCGTTCGAACCGGTCCATCACGTAGTATCACTATATTATACAAAACGCGCAGATCAGAAAGGACTTGTCAACACAGCCAGCCGGATTGTTGAGGTTGCCTCAGTGTCGGAGTTTGGCATACTTTCTGGGCATCTTTCGACATGAAAAACATGCAAAATGACAGAACCGTCGTCCGCTCCAGGATCCAATGGGGCCAAGACAGCCGCCTTGGTCTTACAGGACCGGCGGCGCCGAGAACCGTCTGTCTCGGCGCCGGCATGTTCGGTTCTGCCGGGCGGTGGATGGGTTGAGAGGAAGAGGTTTTGAGAGGAAATGGAATGCCTGAGTTCATTTAGATGTCCATCAAATATGGCACTGGATACTGTTGGCAGTTGCCTCGCATATATGCCACGTTATTCTGCAACCACTAGCAAATTTCGGACAGCTTGTCAGCTGCAACCCACTATGTACCATACACCATAGGTGACTCTCCACCAGATTAAGAACCCTTCACGACATCTCCAGTGCCAGAACCCCCCCCTTCAGTTAGTCATCTCCTCGGACCTTGGTCCCTTGGTCCCAGTCGCCACACCGCCACGGGTCCGCCACCACCGCGAACGCCAGGAGCAGTGGCGTCGCGTGCAGCCCAAGGCCGAGCCCGACGAATTCCGGGTCACCATCCGTCGCCCGGCAGCGGTCGTCGCGTCCCGTGGCGTCTGGGGGGTTGCCGGAGGACGCGGTGGTGACCGGTCACCGGAGTGGCCGTGGACGGTCTTAACGGAACACTTCCAGTTGGTAGGGGAAGTGGTGGTTTTGCCAACAAATCCTCTTGATGCATGTTTCACTGCCATGTGAATGACTCCAAGTGGCAGCACCCAGACGGAGAGGGATTGGATGGTCAGCCAATGGTGGTCTGTGCATTTCAGTTGGGGTGGTGTTGGTAATCCTCTTACGATGTACCTATGTCCAATATCTTCCATCCAAAGCATGGACCAGGAGACGCCAAGGCTGCTTCACCTACAGCATGAGGATCTCCTACATAGTGGTCTTGGCGATTGAAAATGGCATAATATTCCAGAAACTGCCACAATTGGACGTGTCCGCGGTGGTGGTGCGTCACGTCCGCTTTTCCCTCAGCGCGGGCCTCGCGAGTCGCGGGCTCTCCAAGGCGTCATCCCCTTGTTGTTGGCGCAAGGGTCGCTGGGCCGCTCTCGTGGGGTGGCAGCTCTGGCAGAGGTCTCATCGTTGGGTGATTTGACCTTCCCTGGGTTTGGCGGATCAGATATCCTGTTCTTCATTGTTCTTCTTTCACGTGGACGTTTGTAATGTCCCAAAGACACAACTCGGACTTGAACCAGAGAATCTTCCGCATGTCCTCACCTAGGAAAAGAATGGAAGAGACATCCATTCTGTTCCAATCTGTTCCACCAGACCAACTCTGAGAATCGATGGACTCGCGGCCCGATTCCCTCACCGATGACTTCGATGGAACCGGCGGGGTGTCGGTCGTTTCGATGTGGTCATCCCAACGCGTGGTCACCAGGTGAGTGACCAGAGTCGGATGAGGAAAACTCCAGGAAAACTGCGTGAAAGGACGGGTTGTTTTCATGCATTGAAAAGCGTCCACTGCGAAGCGTCCGCTGAGATCTGCTGAGGCTTTGGTCGGTCTTCGTGGTGTGCATGCACCTGGTGACTGGTTGGAGACTTTTCTATCGAAATAGAGCTGTGTATCAGACAGACTGGCATCAGACTTTTGCGGAATGTATTTTTGTTGGTCAATCTATCGGGAAACTCACCGGTTTAGGGATCCTTTCGCCGAACTTCATGTCGCCCGAACATGAAGCCCCTCATCTGCCTCCCTCACGTCCCCCTGAAGCGTCTCGCTTCGCGTCTCTCGCTTCGCCTCCATCTCGGTGGTTTTCTGAACATGAAAACAAACCGGAGGGGCATCACCTCCCGGATCATGCGGTGTTGGAGGATGCTGCGGTGTTGCCGTGTGCTTTTAGGCTCTTGTTTTGGAGGGCAAAAGGTTTCAAAAGGCTTCCAAAAGGCTCCCAAAAATGGCTCCAAAACCTCCAAAGCTCAGGGACCTGTTTGAGTTTCTCGATGACGTACGTTTGAGCCGAGTGCAAAGGGGGGTGAGTCGATCCAAATCGTTTTCTTGAAGAACCATAGAAGACCCATACGACCATACCTGGGACGGGGCTTAAGCGGAAGGACATCGTGTTCGACGGCTTGGCACTCGACTGGACGACCGAAGTCGCATCGATCAGGAAGTTGCACAACTCCTCCATCATCCATCCACTCCTTGTCGGAGCGCCGGAAGTCCGCTGCGCCGTGTTGCGTGTTGCGCCCGACTTCTGTTGTCATGTGCATGTTGCTGAAGTCACACAAACACAAACATCTCCACATATCTCCACTATAGTCCTCCTTTTTTCAGAAGAGCAGGTGGAGCGATGTTGAACATGTTTTTCAGACGAGTCGTTTGACCTGTAGGGGTATGGTTCAAGGACCTTTCACTTTTTCTCCGGGATGGTCAGAATTCATTGCTTCTCCTCTTAAACCAACTGCCTCCAAACCTGCAAACTCTTAAACCACAGTTGCTGAAGATAGATATGTTCTTCTTCAGAACTTGATCCCTCAAGAACCTGTAGCCTCGATCATCCTCGATCCCTTCAGTCCCGATCTTCGGATGATCGAGACCATCGGACGCCATGTGGGGCCATCGGGTGGGGGGGGAAGGGACGGGGGGCGGAAGAGCCTGGTGCGGGGGGCGAGGAGTGCTGGGCTTGCTCTTGGCCTTCCGCACCAATCAGGCGAAGTCGCCGGGTTCGCCGTGGCGGTGTGGCGTCGGACCGGTGTTCACCACGTGGGAACGGAGCCCAAAACTCCAGGGAGAAGGCTCTCACATGGTTCCGGAAGTAGACCGAGATGGAGCCTGAAAGCAAAGTGAAAATTACAACGTTCGATCTACAAAGAAGCTGAGGGAATACCAGTTTGGGAGGTACTTGACAGTTCTGAGTGCGATCAGATGGACCCGGAATCCCTTTGCGAACAGACGAGCCTTCATCGCCACCCAAACCGGGTTCCGAAGGCGGTAGACTCGCTTGACTCAAACCGTTTTGGAGTGGTTCAGGAGTTTCATTCTGGCCTAATAGACCATGAGAATCATATACCTCAAGCCGGAGGTTCAAATGTCCGAGTCTTGAACCATGTCGATGCGAGTTGCTCACCATCTACACCAGGTGACATTTGATCCGACTTTTCCGCTTTGGCTCGAAGAGAATGCCGCGGCCTTTTCGTCGATGAAGTCACCATGGAAGCCGAAACGCTGGGCAGGGAGAATGCTATCACGGACAAGGACAGTGATCAGAGCGACCATTCTGACGTGAAGATTGATGCGGTCGAGCTCGTTGGGGATTGGTGCCTGTGAAAATTGACAATGCTGTTGTTGCTTTGAATCTTAAGGCATTTGTAGGTTCAAGCCTACAGAGACAGGGGCTATACCCAATATGAAATAGATCGAAATAGTCATGTTTGGGTCTTTTTGGTGTGCCTCCCTTCTTTGGCAGCGTCCCAATCGCAAACCGGGTAGGTTCTACCGTAATTACAAGTTCCAATCAGACTACGTGGTTCAATCATGTTCAACTTACCATCATCCTACCATCAAAAGATTTGCCCACAAACGATTTGGGGACTGAGCCAAGAGTATGGTTGTTTCATGCTGTTTCTTGATGAAAAACACCTGCTGAAGCTGGGATTGCGAGTCGCCCCAAGAATCGTCCAAAAAGGCTCTCACAGATGGAGTTGACTGATGAGAAGTTCCTTCGAGCAGCCCCAGCATATCGTGTAGTCGAATGTGCTGGCCGCATTTTTCGACGGAAGAGTTAGGCCGATTTCGCCCACAGCACACCAGTGAGGGCGATCAACAAGTTCATCTCCCACAGCTGGCAAGCTTCAGCACACTCCAAATACATGGCTTTGCTGATGTTTTACAATGGCAAAGCGGCGGTAGTGATGGGAAGTTTGGTCGCTGCCGCTGCAATGATATGTTTCATGTTTGATTTCCTGCCAGGCTGGATGAGAGACATGCCGGATCGTGAACAACCGAGGTATTTGGGTGCTTGGTGCTCAACCCTTGGGATCCTCGTGTGCGTCCTGATCTTATGTTTTCGCCGTCCACGAGATGTCATTTTCTTGGATCGGCTTTGCATCAATCAGTATGATGAAAGAGAGAAAACTCTTGGGGTGATGAGCTTGGGTGCCTGCCTCAAACATTCCAAGAGGATCATGATACTGTGGGATGATACATTTTGCCATAGACTTTGGTGCCTCTTCGAACTGGCTGCTTTTCTTAAGACGCACGATAGTACCGAGTTGCTGGTAGTGCCTTTAGATTTGACCAATTTCCTCTTCTGGAATTTTGTTCTCAATGCGCTGATTTGGGGTGGTAGCCTTGTTGTCCCTTATACGACAGATCTCAGCGGCAATGTTCTTCTTGTGTTGATTTTCGTCCTTGGGACGTGTGCTCAATGCTGGCTTGCGACCACAAATATCCTTCACTTCTCAAAGGGTGCTCAAGCAATTCAGAAGCAGTTGTCGAGCTTTACAGTTGCTGGGGCTCAATGCTATTGCTGTTCTGCAAACCATCAAACACGAGATGGACAAGACATAGCATGTGACCGCAGAATCATGCAAAAATGCATTCAGCATTGGTTTGGCTCGGTTGAGGAATTTGAGAAAGTGGTTCAGACCAGGGTCAGGGATGCTACTATGCTGAAGACCCAGATGTCACGTTTTTTGTGTTTACTTACTTACTGCCTTACTTACTTACTTACGTGTGTGATCGGCAAAAAGGTTGATCTGTTCTCCTCAAAAACCGCCAACAAGCGAGGCTTTTGCAAAGCATTTTGGCGGACACTTTTGTCCATTCACTTGGTTTGCTGCCAGCCGAATCACAATCCTATGGCAACACATGGACAATGCGGCTTCAAGACTCTATGAGCGTGATGCACAAAATGCTGTAGGTCGGATTCTTCTGGGCTTGGGTGTTCAATGTCTCACGGGCTCAATGGTTTTTGCCGCACTCATCCTGCTACTTCGATGCCAACCTTGTAGTGGCTTTCGTCTAAAGCTTCTTGCAACGGCACTCTGCCTGTGTTTAGTGTTCGGATACCACATACTTTATCGAGCTCTTTTTGAAATGCTGGGAGAGCTGTCAGGATCCTTGATTTTTGCAGGGGCTCTTTTGCTACCCACCATCATTCTTTGGCATGCATCCGCGAAAGGATGCTAAAGAAGGCCTGCGTGGCAGAAATCGATGCGCAACAAGTGGCGCAAGTGGGGCCGTTCTTTTTTGTGGGCGAAAAAGGCTCACCATGTGTTTGCCTCATGTAGCGACCTCCGGCGACTCCGGAGCGCCAAATCCTGTTGAGCGAGCGAGCGAAAAGGCAGGTGGTGCATGTGAAGAAACTGTAGCCCATTCATGCAAAGACCATGCTGACTGCCTTCACAGCCTCCGACCTATTGCCAGTATCAGTGATTTGGTGAAATGTGTGGAGTAGATATAACTTTCCGCAATGTAGTTGATCCACCCCACACACAAGATATTGCTCGCAGGGACAGTGAGGGAGTGTAATCGATGACGTAGCTCTTCAAATGAAGCAGTTGGGATTGATTGTATCTTGCACCGTGTTCACCTGTGCAGCTGTCGCATCAGCAACTGCCAGATTTGAGAGGGACTAAGTTAATTGATGACCTGTATATATATATATTATGTTATATTGTATATATATATATACAGGGCCTCAACCAAGTCACTCACTCAGAATGGTGCCTTGCTTTTTTTAACCCAACGTGAGAACTCCAAGGCCCTCTAAGATTGACCATGAAGAGACATCCAAGAACTGCCTGTGTTCTCATTTTGGCTTCCGAGCAGCCCACGAGGTTGGAATGTGAAGTTGGACCGATGGAGCTCCGCATAGAAAGATCGACAGAGAAGCTATCTTTGCACCAAAATCGCTATACGTACTGACGTACTGCTAATTGTTATGTTTAATTATGGAAAGTTTTATAACAAGAACAACAGTCCAATCAACAATACTGGCTAGAGTTTTAGTGCTATAGTTGCGGAGACCTGGATGTGTTCCTACGTACGTCAACAATTCGTTGCTTCCCGGATCACGGATATCCTGCGAGAACCCCTCGTTGTTCCGCCTGGAAAGGCTTATGAGCGGCATTGGAGCTGTGGCAAGACCCTGGCGGAGTTGCAGAAAGTGCTGCAGACCATGCTCAGGTCTTCCGTCCCAGAGAGATTTACACCGAAAGAGAAGCCCATCCCATGTCATTGCCCTGTAGAGCCCAATTCACCTCTGTTTTGATAGGAAGCGACGGAAAAAACCACAAAATACATCAAAATGGTTGGGTGGGTGTCCAAAACAATCGCCAAAAGGCATACAAAGGGACGACGGTGGTCAACCGGACGATCCGTCTGACCTCTCGGTGACGACGGTGGTCAACCGTCTTCGACCGGGTCCGTGGAGAAAGGTCCGGACCGGTGGAAAGGACCATGTCGACCGGTGGAGCAGGTGTGAAGGATGAAAAGGACCAAGACACATGCGGAAAAAAAAAAAATCGGAAGAAGGCAATGAATGTACGATAATTATATGTCTTTTATTGAGTATAGTACAATCAAAGGGGGCTTGGATGTCCTAAGGTTCTCATCGGAACAAGCGCGACATTGGCATCAACCATCGATGGCGTTTCCGTCCAGGAAAGACCATGTTGAATTCAGTGACCCAAAAAGGATGTCCTTTGTCGTTTTCATGGAGTAAATGCACAAATGATCGGCGAAGTGGACTTCTAGGATTGTCGCCATCGATGACTAACGCTGGCGTTTTATGGATTTATGAGATTTATGGATTTATTTGGAGAATTGTGTTTGGAGAATTGTGGAGATGTGCCCTGAGAAGTCTAGAATCAAGCTGGAACTGTCAGCAGCTGTGCACATTCTCATTCAAAAGTTAGCGGAAAACAGGTGCCTCAGCTGGTTTTCTTCCATGACTTGTGGATTCCGCAGCGAATGCCGCGTGGCCAATCCACGCCTTCCTGCAGCGACCGCTCGATTGGAATCCTGCGAGGTATGCAGCGCATTTGTCTAGAGATGACTGGGCATCTTGGATGGATATGATTGATATATTTGGACGTGACCTGGGACGAGACGGAACAAGAGGGGAAAGGGAGAGACAAGAGTAGGAGAATAAGTTTGGGAGTGCAATGCATAGGAAATCCTGGTTATGGCATCGAGCACTTGCTCTTGATATGGGTTCTAGACCTAGAAGGCCAGCATGAGCAAAATAAGTTGTATATATTGTGCTTCAAAATCGGATGTTGGCTCAAATCTTCCGGCCCTTGCGCTTCAGGAGATCTACTCCTGCATCGTCCGGCACTTGCTCTTTGGATGAAATGCTGGAGTTGGGGGGGGAAACCCCCATGGGTGAGACGCCGAACCGGCTGGTACCAAATGAGATCGGCAGGTTTTCTCTGCGCAGGGCCACACACCTACCCGGACTTTCTTCGGATACTTTCCAAGACATTTCAAGACTATAGATGGGACCGCAATGAAACTCTTTTGTTGGTCGATTTGCAAGGATATATCAGACCCTAGGGCTCCAAGTACCTTCTTAGAAGGTGGTTGGGGAGGGATTGGAGGAGGTATTTGGAGGCTAGTGGAAGTGCGTGGGTTGCCAAAGATGGTCTTTATCAAGAAGGTACAATCCCCCAGATGGTTGTTGTGTGTTTGATGGTTTTAACCTTTGGGGGACATGTAATGCCCATGATCTTTCATTTGCGGCCTTTTGCAAGGATTGCCTTCCCTATTGCGCTGAAGCAGCACCTGAAGCGCAGCCAGAACCTCAGGAGGACGTTCTTTTCTTTCACGCCGGTGGGAACGGAAATCCGTCCAAAACCATTCTGAAAATACTCCCCCGCGAACTAACATAAAACCTGAGAATTGACCTGCAGAAGACCATTTTCCTCTACAACCCAGTGGTTTTGGGGTCCATGTGGTCCTCTGCAGGGGAGTATGATCCTGAACTTGATCCCTTCGTCAACCGATCCTTTCAACTCTTTAATAAAAGCTCGTCCGAGCCCCGGACGTCTACTTCGACCACCACAGGTCGCGACCCAGAGGAGTACATGCGGATTCTGGAGCTCCTTGGCACGCAAAAGAGATGGAGCTCCATTGTCGTCCGCGTTCCGCGCGAAGCTGCCGGACCGGGCCAGCGTTCGGAACCCTGCGGCCACCCGACGATCGGTTTCGCGTCTTCATCGGGCGAAGAAGATGTCGGTCGTCGGAGCGGAAAGAGGACCTTTCAATAAAGTGTCGTTGATACGTTGAAGGACCGTGATACGTGTCCAAGGGACATCAAAAGAACCTACAGGGGCCCCCCTCGACTCTGGACCTGTGCTTCGCCAGCCCTCGGCTCGTGAGGACACTGGGGGGGGGACGTGTGGAGCCTTCTTTCGCGGAGGAATTCTTGTAGGTGCTCCCGCCAAAGAACTCATTTGGACCAGCTTGACCAAAATTGGCCAAGTTTGAAGGAATTGTTCAGTCAAAAACAGGCCAACCTGGCCATGATGTCAGATCTAACCTGGCGCTGGGATGGCGGTGACCACCTGTTTGACCATGTTTGACTGGCTCCGAAGACCCTCAGAAACGGCGTCCGAACCTCGCCCGAGAAGAATGGCTCCGTCGCGTCTTCTCGTCTCGGCCGAGGTACACGGAGATCGAAGACGTCGTTCGCACCGGACGCCCGCATACGCTCATCCTCTCCAGCTTGTCCATGCTCATAAGGCGGATGAGAGAGGTTCCTTTTTGTGAACCGTGCCAAAGCAGAAACAAGATGAAACAAGTCCATACAAGTCCAAAAAGATCCAACAAGCATGTGTTTGGTGTTTTTTTGAGAATGGTGGCGCTTGGCAATGGGGATGCCATTCAAGGAATAGTGGGAGGGCTTCTACACTTTTGAGTGAGTCAGGTTCTTTCGCAGTGTTTTCATGTTCCTGTTTGTTCGGGGCACGGTAACGTTGTTCCATTGGATTGGACTGTGTTGAACAAAGTCCTTTGGCTTTTGGTCTCAAAGTTTTAGTCCATTGATTAAAGAATGGCAGCAAGCTCGATGAACGAAAATCATCACAGAAAGGCCAAAACATAACAGCAGCAAGACTCTTGTCACCTTTTTCCGCCAATACCCATACATACAGTAGTGCGCTGCAGGGGAAAATGGGGAAAAGATGGGCCTAAGATGTGGAACGACGGGATCTTCACAGAGATCTTCGCTCCATCCAAATTCACTTTTGGGACCGGTCATGAACACCTTTCGCGCACCCGGAGGCCCTTACGTCATCGGGATGACGGCGAGGGGAAGAGCCTGGCGTTGTGGTCGCAGATGGACCGCAGAAGAGACCGTGGAAGTCTGGAATTCGTTGGGGTTTGTGGACTCCCCATGATCCAAAAAGAAAACAGGTGTTCATGAAGTGTTTCTTGAAGCCAAACCTTGAAGTTGTCTAAATCAGTTCTGTCTTGCTGTTTTCATGCCTATTAGGGCTATTAGGGCGTCAAATGAGGCACTCCAAGTCTGAGAGTGCAGGCATTTCCAGCCAATCCTTGTGGATCGATCGATTCAAGAAATCAAGATACCAGCTGACCAATGAAAATGTAGCCTCCACTATATTGAAAAAAACAAGTGTTACGTGGTTTCAGATACGTACTGTTTTCAACCTTTAGTTGGGATGATTGATTCCACAAATACGTTTCAATTGAGTTGAAACCACCAACCAGTCCACGCGCTTCTTCCAACCGGTACCGGTACCGACCTGTCCGTACTACCCTGGCGACAGGACAACTGCATCACCCAGTTGCAGACGATCTCCTGCAACCTGGACCTGGTGGCCTCTCGGCGAGTCCACCCCACGAAGAACGAAGAACGACCGAAGAAGAGAGTCCGCTGCGGAACCGCGGAACCGCTGCGGAGTCTGCGCTTTGCAGGACATGCACACTCTGCAAACTGAACTAGTTATGGCAAGAACATGCAAGAACGCCGGTCTTGTGAGGGAAAAGACGATGGCATCTCTGATCTGGTATTAATCAATGTTACTGACCAGGTCAAGTGTTTTTGAAGGCATACAAATGCCTTGCCAAATCACTGAAGAGCACCGAGGTTCAGTTGCCTTTGCCAGCAAGCTATACCGTCCACACCAGCCGTTTCATTCGATTATGGGTCCGGGCGCCAGCTGATCCTGGGGAGTTTTGGAGGTGTCGACAAGCTGAGAAGGATGAAGAATTGGAAAAAGTGGTGGATTGTATGAGAAGTTTGGTGTCGAAGAAAGTGGTGGATTGCTGAAAGTTTCCATATGTTTACATGCTTGGAAGGTCTTCTCTCTCTTCTCTCCACTTTGGGGGTCAGACCTGCTGAGCGAAGCTTGCCACAGATGCAGGTCCGCATTGAATACAAACAAGCGACTATGCAGCACGCAAATCTGACACCCGATTGGAACAAAACAAGTACTTGAACAACTATAAAAACGCTCACGTTTGTACAGCTCTTCCAGGTGAAATTGAGTGCACATGCATGCGCATGCCCCAGCTAAGCATGAATACCCTATCAGAACGCTCAGCATCCACGCGTCTCGATCGAGTCGGACGCTGCGCGGCCAGATCGGTACGTTGCCCTTCGTTCTGCTGGGCTTCATTAAACCTGCCCCTTGGCCAGACACATCTGACCGTGCAATAGGGATACACCCTGGCCCAGGTTTTGGAAGGTTGACTGGTCTATGTCACGAAGCTTCCAGGGGTCGAACCAGGGTCGGTCTCCCTATTTTACTAGGCATGGACCCATCTGATGAATCTGGAGCTGAGGGTTTGTCTCAGGGATCAGATATGTCGGGCAGGTCGGCGTTCGATTTCTTCTTAAAACATCTGGGCCACCCGAACGCATGCCGAACGCAGGTCGGCAACGCCCACTCCTGTTTGTTTCGGTTCTCCACGGTCAAAGGTTTGAAGCATGGCCGTCGTCTCTTCCACCTGATGAGAGGTGTTCTTCGCCATCAGAGAAGGTCACATCGAAACCTAAAACCGAAATCCCCGGTGGTGCTCCAAACGAAGAAAGGACCCCCACCCATCCCTCTCGTGGATCCAAGACGTCCACCGCCATGTTCGCTAGCGATGAGGTGCTGGTGCCGGTGATCGTGCTCCTGGTGGCGTGGGCGCTCTATTCCACTGAGGAGTTGGCACAGATCATGGAGGAACCCTTTGGAGATGAAACCGCAGGCGGCGCGGTTAAGGGGGGGGGTTCCCCCGAAGACTGGGGCGCCATGGGGCGGAAAGCTGGCGCCAAGGGGTGGGAAGACGGAAGGACAAACGTGCCGATGCCACCGTGAAAGTGTCGAAAGTTTAGTATCTTTTTTTGAGGTCAACGTGTCACATGTTGGAGGTTTCTAGGAAGGTGTCAATGCTATCCCAGCATATCCCAGCTACATTTCAATGTTGATTCCTCGCAGTCCCTGCATCAGTCTGGAGCAGGAATCACAGGAATACACCCAGGTTACCCAATCTCAGCGGGCAGTGTGGGCCAGCGGTGGTTTTTGTTGCGTGCGAACGACCGGCGTTCAGCTGCGTTCAGCACGTTCTTGTGGTTTTTTTCGTGCTGCGTTCAGCCAGGCAAGCCTGAGACGATCAAGCTTGATGTCTTTTGCCGCTGGTCTTCAGCGGAGTGTTCCGTACCGAAGAGGAGAGTGCCACGTACCCTCGTGGATCCGAGGAGGAAGGACGGAAGGACGAACGGAGGGTTTCGTCGGCCGATTTCGAACCACTGCAGTACCTGTCCGAACGTGGTTTGGATCCACTGAGTCAACCCCTTCACCATCCATCGTGGTCACGCGGCGGCGTTGGTGTGAAAAGCTGCCCACCCAACACTTAACACCGAAGCCCTCGAAGCCGACCAAGACGCACGAGCGACGCCATCAGGTCGTCGGATCATTTTTGCTCTGAAGCAGCAAGTCTGGGTCCAGGATGCAAGCCCAAACGAGCGGCGGAAACGGGAGGGAAGTTCGGGAGGACACCGGAACCAGTTGAGTGAAAGAGAAAGAGCAGACCCATGTGTTTCCATGCTGAAACCAAGTGATGAAACAACTGTGCCTTCTTCTTTTTTGGCCTCCGAGAAGTGGAAATGTTGCCGCTGTTGAAGTTGCTTGACAAACCTTGCAGTAGATGACGCTTGATGACACTATATATACAAGACTTAGATTATATTTATATAGGTTTGAGATTTGAGAGGTTGAGTTGAGGGCTGAAGAAGCGATTTGTGATGAAGTCCAATTCCCACCACATCACATCCAACCATACAGCACTCACACTCAAGTAGGATGCTGTAGGGGAGATGGTTTGAGATGGATTCTTTGGTTCCGAATCCCAGCGGCCCGTGTTGAAACAGGTTGTGTTGAAACAGGTTGAAAACGATGGAAGATCCACTGTGATCAAATGAGGCGGCAATTCGCATGCCAGCCACCTGACTCATGCAACCCAATTCATTGCAAGTGTTCATCTTTTCAGGAGACGCTGGACACCCGCGTGAACGCGGGAAGTTGGGTGGTAACCCGTGAAGACATACCGAAGGCCGGGCATGAAGACCTACCTCCCACATTTCGCCATTGGGGCGGTGTGGGGAGTTGCAGGGCATTTCAGTGTTTATTTGGGAACTTGCAGGGCAAAAAGCAGAGTTCAAAGAAGCTCATCCTGGCATCTGCGTTTTTGTTTGCAGCGTTTCTTTTTGCCGCATGTGTCACAGGACCTTCCAAAAAGGCGTCATCGTTAACAGCAGAACAAGCGGACTCTATACCCATTCCAGACCTTTTGCTACAAAAATGAACCTCAGAGCAGTCGCAAAAGAGCGAACGCGAGTAGACGGAACTTGGAAGGATACAGTTTGAGTAGACGATCCCATGGAACCTGAAAACCACTGGGTTGGTATTCGGAAGATAGTCTTCCATGGGGCCATTCTCAGGGTCTATGTTCGTTTTCGGGAGTGTACAGTTTGTTTGGGGTTGCCATGTTCCACTGAGTCCAACTGCAGGCTCGACCCGCGGGCTCGACGTGTCCGCCGTGTCCCTCGGTTCAGAAGAACGATCAAAGCCCGGGTTTGGCGTCAAGATCGACGCCAGATGGACTGGGCCGAATTCGGCTTGAGTGAAAAACTCCCAGAATGGGCTGCAAAAATGGGAAACTCCACCAGAAACCAGGGTTTGGACTCAGAAGATGGGGAGAGTTTGGTCGAATTTTTCCAAAAAACGACATGGTCTGCATGGTCCTCGACGGCTGGTCCTCGACGGCTGCTCCTCAACGGCTCCAATTCCTTCGTCTCCAGGTCCGGCAAGTGGAGAAGGAGGAGCCTCTCCACATGAAGAGCGCTTGGGATGTCGACTGAGCCGACGGACCGGTTTAACCGGCGCTGTTCAAATCGGAGGGGACCCAAGAATGGACAGAACATGACAGAACATGGACGGGTGACCCAGAGTCGGTTTGGAATTGAAGTGGATCTTTTTAGACCAACATGGAGCGACCATTCTAGCACCAGCTGTTGTATTACCTACTTGTACTTGGTGCCAGTTGTGGGGTTATGTGGGTTGACATCGTGACTGGCACAGTGCATGTGATATAATTCCAGATTCTTTGCTGTTTCTCCCTGTTTCTCCTGTTACTTTTCGGTGCTAGTCTCGTGTCACCTCGTGATAGGAGCAGCAGGAGTCTTCCCACTACTTGTTGGTGTTTCCCAAAAGGCAAGAAAGTTCTGCAAAGCTAGGTGGACCTCCATACATGTTTGGAACAGAGAAGAACCCTGACAAAGAAATCTGTCAGATGTGCATCACTCGTCATGGATTTGGAAGATTCTTTTGACACCGTTGTCCCGGGATGATCCCCCTCCTGGTAGAATTTTTAATGTTCAATGCTAGCTGATTTTATCAAGGGCTTTATGTTTGCTGCAGCCAATAGTGCTGCGCAGACCTGCAGCACAGCACTGAGAGGAATGCGCTCGCTCTATGCTGCGCAGCGGAAGGGTGAGCAATTCGTTTCGCCTATTGAGCCTGTGGTGTCGATCAGCACGGCCAGTGGCCGCTGTGCAACATGGATTTGTGGCCGCCATTCCTCTCACTCGGTGGATACAGACCCCACGTCCTGCATGGAGCCGTCTGTCTCAGTCCCCAGCGATGCGTGATCGATGCGTGATCGACGCAGCCGGTCGATGTGTAAGAGAGAAGTGTACTTCTTGGTCTATGTTGCCATGGCATAGGACGTCTTAGGATTCATGTTTGGATCTTCAACATGTTTCACTGATTCAGGGAATCCACCCCTTTAAACCAAAGGAAGAATGCTACATTTCGTCAGGGCATCCTTTTCGTTAACGCCTGGGAGTCTTTCTGAACAGTCCGTTCGAGCCTCTTCAGAGGCCTTTCAACACGGTTCTGGCTTGTTTTGATTTGTAGGATGGAGGAGTACTTCCGACTTTCTTTGGACAGGTCCTCTTCGGCAAATGAGTCCCCACCATCCCGGACGTCGCTGCAATCCTCGCCGGACAAGGTTGGACGTCGAAGCGCGAGCTAATGGGACTCAGTAAAAGGAGCTAATGGCAAAGGGTCGGTTCTTGCAGCTCAGCTTTTCAAAACTGTGTCTGATTCACCTGAAGACATTGGGTGAGGCACGCGTTATACGCGGGTTCCCCTTTCTGAAGGGGTTGGAAAACGAAGACGCGAACGACGGATGGCGGTTTTTCGTTGACGCGCGAACGACGCTCGGATGGGGCCCCGTGGACGGCTAGGGCTTGAAGCAGGGAGCTCCAAGAAGAACTCCTGGCCGAGAAAAAAGGATGCATGACCAATGAGAATGAGAACCTAATAGCAATGGCCTCCAACCTATAGTAGCGATGGCCTCCAACCTATAGT